GGGTCCTGGACCTGGTCCTGGATGTGGTCCTGGACCTGGATCTGGTCCTGGATCTGGTCCTGGCCCTGGACCTGTGGGTCCTGGTCCTGGCCCTGGTCCTTGTCCTGGACCTTGTCCTGAACATCGTCCTGGTCCTGGCCCTGGCCCTGGTCCTGGTCCTGGTCCTGGACCTGGTCCTGGTCCTGGACCTGGTCCTGGACCTGGTCCTGGTCCTGGACCTGGACCTGGTCTTTGACCTGGTCCTGGTCCTGGACATTGTCCTGGTCCTCGTCCTGGTCCTGGACCTATACCTGGTCCTGGTCCTGGACATGCTCCTGGACCTGGATCTGGTCCTGGATCTGGTCCTGGACCTATACCTGGTCCTGGTCCTGGACATGCTCCTGGACCTGGTCCTGGTCCTGGACCTGATCCTGCGGGTCCTGGACCTGGTCCCGGACCTGGATGTGGTCCTGGACCTTGTCCTGGTCCTGGTCCTGGACCTGTATCTTGTCCTGGACCTAGACCTTGTCCTGGACCTTGTCCTGAACCTCGTCCTGGTCCTGGTCCTGGTCCTGGTCCTGGACCTGGTGCTGGTCCTGGTCCTGGACCTGGTCCTGGTCCTGGTCCTGGTCCTGGTCCTGGTCCTGGTCCTGGTCCTGGATGTGGTCCCTGGCTGCAGGAGCTGCTGTCGGAGGAGAGCCGGCAGAAGCTGAACCTGTCGGGTCGCTTACGGACTCTGGAGGAGGAGCAGAAGGTTCTGACGGAGCAGCTGGAGGACGAAACCGAAGCCAAAAGGGGGGCGGAGAGGCAGGTCTGCAGCCTGACCAGCCAGGTAAGGGGGGGGGCAGGGGAGGGGGGGGGGGGGGTAGGGGGGGAAGGGGGAGGGACTGGAGACCAGAGACCAGGGACCAGAGACCAGGGACTACGGACCAGGGAACACTACTAAGGACCCCTTCAGATACCAGGCAGCCCCATAGGGACCCCTTCAGGGACCAGACGACCCTATAGAGACCTCTTCAAGACTCTGAGACCCCTTCAGGGACCAGAAACCCCACTAAGGACCCCCTCAGGGACCCCCACAGCGAGACAACATAGGGACCCCATCAGGGACTAGAGACCCCTTCAGGGAACAGAGACCACATGAAGACCCTTTCAGACACCAGAAACCCAACTAAGGACCCCTTCAGGGACCCCCACTGACCCCCACAGCGACCAGAGACCACATAGAGACCCCTCAGGGACCAAAGACTACACAAAGACCTCTTCACGACCATAAGATCCCTTCCGGGCCCTGCTAACCCTCTCAGGGACCAGATAGCCCCATAGGGACCATTTCAGGGACCAAAGTAAACCTGGGGACCCCATCAGGGACTAGAGACCCCTTCAGGGACCAGAAACCCCACTAAGGACCCCTTCAGATACTAGTAACCCCACTAAAGAAACCCTGAGACCCCTTCAGGGAACAGAACCGCTACTAAGGACCCCCTCAGACACCAGACGGCCCCATAGGAACCCTTCCAGGGACAAGAGACCCTTTCAAGGACCCCGTCATGTACCAGAACCCCCACTAAGGACCCCTCAGGACAAGGAGGCCCCATAGGGACCCCTTCAGACACCAGAACCCCCACTAAGGACCCCTCAGGACAAGGAGGCCCCATAGGGACCCCTTCAGACACCCGAAACCCCACTAAGGACCCCTTCAGACACCAGACGGCCCCATAGGAACCCCTTCAGGGACCAGAGTAGACCTAGGGACCCCATCAGGGTCTAGAGACCCCTTTAGGGACTTGAGACCACATAGGAACCCCTTCAGACACCAGAAACCCCACTAAGGACCCTTTCAGGGACCCCCACTGACCCCCACAGTGACCAGAGACCACATAGGGACCCCATCAGGGACTAAAGAACCCCTAAGACACCAGAAACCCCACTAAGGACCCTTTCAGGGACCCAAGACCCCTTCAGGGCCCAGACAGCCACATAGAGACCCCCTTAGGGACCTGAGACCCCTTTAGACACCAGAAACCCCACTAATGAAACCCCGAGACCCCATCAGGGACTAGAGACCCCTTCAGGGACCAGAATCCCCACTAAGGACCCCTTCAGACACCAGAATCCCCACTAAGGACCCCCTCAGACACCAGAATCCCCACTAAGGACCCCCTCAGACACCAGAATCCCCACTAAGGACCCCATCAGGGACTAGAGCCCCCACTAAGGACCGCTTCAGACACTAGTAACCTCACTAAGGACCCCTTCCACGCCCTGCTGATCCCTTCAGGGACCCCCACAGGAATCAGAGACCACATAGAGACCCCCTCAGGGCCCAAAGACCCCCTAAGACACCAGAAACCCCACTAAGGACCCCTTCAGTAGCCCGAAACCCCACTAAGGACCCCCACAGGAATCAGAGACCACATAGGGACCCCTTCAGGGACCCCCACAGCGACCAGAAACCACATAGAGACCCCTTCAAGTACCCCCACTAAGGACCCCTTCAGGGACCAGAGACCCCTTCAGGGACCCCCACTGACCCCTTCAAGGCCCAGACGCCCACATAGAGACCCCCTCAGACACTAGAAACCCCATTAAAGACCCCTTCGGGCACCAGACAACCCCATAGGGACCCCATCAGGGACTAGAGACCCCTTCAGGGAACAGAAACCCCACTAAGGACCCCTTCAAGGACCCCCACAGCGACCAGAGACAACATAAAGACCCATTTAGACACCAGAAACCCCACTAAGGACCCCTTCACACAACAGAACCCCCACCAAGGGCCCCCTCAGGTACCAGAACCCCCACTAAGAAACCCTTCAGACACCAGAAACCCCACTAAAGAAACCCTGAGACCCCTTCAGGGCCCAGAGACCACTTAGAGACCCTTTCAGTAATCAGAAAATCTACTAAGGACCCCTTCAGACACTAGAAACCCCATTAAAGACCCTTACTAAGGACCCCCTCAGGGCGTATACGGCCCCATAGGGACCCCTTCAGGGACCCGAGACCCCTTCAGGGACCTGGCATTCCCATAGGGACCCGTTCAGGGACCAGAGACCACATAGAGACCCCTTCAGACACCAGAACCCCCACTAAGGACCCCCTCAGGGCCCATAGACCCCTTCAGGGACCCCCACAGGAATCAGAGACCACATAGGGACCCCTTCAGGGACCCCCACAGCGACCAGAAACCACATAGAGACCCCTTCAAGTACCCCCACTAAGGACCCCTTCAAGGCCCAGACAGCCCCATAGAGACCCCTTCAGACACCAGAACCCCCACTAAGGATCCCTTCAGACACCAGTAACCCCACTAAAGAAACCCCGAGACCCCTTCAGGGACCCCCACTGACCCCCACAGTGACCAAAGACCCCTACTAAGGACCCCTTCAGGGCCCAGAGACCTTATAGGGACCCCTTCAGGGACCAGAAACTTTACTAAGGACCCCTTCAGACACTAGAAACCCCATTAAAGACCCCTACTAAGGACCCCCTCAGGGCCCAGACGGCCACATACGGACCCGTTCAGACACTAGAAACCCCACTAAGGACCCCTTCAGGGACCCCCACTGACCCCTTTAGGGACCAGAGACCACATAGAGACTCTTTCAGACACCAGAACCCCCACATAAAGACCCCTTCAGGGCCCTGACAGCCCCATAGGGCCCCATACGGCCCTATAATGACCCCCCCCCCCCCCCCCAGCTGGCGGAGGCGCGGCGGCGGCTGGAGGCGGCGCTGGCGTGGGGGGGGCAGCAGGAGGAGGCGCGGCGGCGGCTGCAGAGGGAGCTGGAGGCGGCGGGCGCCGAGCTGCAGGCGGTCAGCGGCGAGCAGGAGAAACTGGACAGGAACCGGACCAGACTCAGGGCGGAGCTGGACGACGCCCTGCAGGAGCTGCAGGAGCAGAGGGCCATCAGCTCCGGCCTGGAGAAGAAGCAGAGGAAGTTCGACCAGGTTAAACACGATTCGTTTCAATTTAATCTTATGAAATAGCTTTTTCAGTCCCAAAAAATCCGTTTTTCTTCAGGCAGAAAAAAGGCCCCTAATGAGCCTGATTTTTTATTACCTTTTATGATTATTTATAGATAAAAAAATTATTAATTTCAATTTAATCTGATGAAATAGATTTTCAGTCAAAAAAAGGATTATTTACGGAAAACGATTCATTTCAATTTAATCTGATGAAATTGATTTTTTCAGTCTGAAAAATCAGTTTTTCAGTCATAAAATCTGATTTTCAAGCAGAAAAAAGCCCCTAACTCAAGGGATGAGCCAGCGTTTTGCGACCCTTTACGATTATTTACAGACGATTCATTTGAATTCAATCTTATAAAAGTACTTTTTCATTCCTTAAAAACTATTTTTCTTCAGGCAAAAAAAAGGCCCTTAACTCAAGGGTTGAGCCAGCATTTTTTATTACCTCTTATCAATATTTTTATAAAGAAATCATTCAAGATTTTGCCATAATTCAATTTAATCTTATAAAATGACTTTTTTCAGTCCATAAATCTTTTTCAGTCATAAAAATCAGATTTTCAGGCAGAAAAAAGCCCCTAACTCAAGGGATGAGCCAGCACTCTGTGACCAAATATGATTATTTACGGAAAACAAACGATTAATTTAAATTTAATCTTATAAAAGTACTTTTTCATTCCTTAAAATTCCATTTTTCTTCAGGCAGAAAAAAGGCCCTAACTCAAGGGATAAGCCAGCACTCTGTGACCCTTTACGATTATTTACGGAAAACGATTCATTTAAATTTAATCTCATAAAAATGACTCTTTTCAGTCATGAAAAATCTATTTTTCTTCAGGCAGAAAAAAGGCCCCTAGCTCAAAGGATGAGACAGTTTTTTGTGACTTATTCAAGATTTTGCCATAATTCAATTTAATATTCTAAAATTACTTTTTTCAGTCATCAAAATCAGTTTTTTCTTTGTTTAGCCACTAAACACTGAATCAAAAAGGCTCATAACTCAAGGGATGAGCCAGCATTTTTTATTACCTTTTATGATTATTTATAGATAAAAAAATATTAATTTCAATTTTTAATCTTTAATTTAATTGAATCAGGTAAAATTACTTTTTTTGTCCCTTAACTCATTGACTGGCAGCCATTTTCAGAACAGAGTCCCATACTGCCAGAGTTTTTTGAGCATTTTGACTGATTTTTCAAGAGCCACAGAATAGTTTGTGCTATGACTATGTAAACACCGAACACACCAAAAGAAAGAGTAGACTCTCTTCTTTCATCAGGAAAAAAAATGTGTTTCTACCTTATTCCGTTCTTCCTGGACTTGCGTCTCACCGGCGACATGTTCTCTCATAGAACCGTTCCCTTTTTCTTATTTGCCTACAGTCTATGCTCATCTCCCATCAAAAGTGGCACTGCCCCCTAGAGGGTCAATTTGTTACTACATACTCTGTCTAGAAGCCGATATTTACGGAAAAGCTTTAGCAGAACGTCCTCCAGACACTCTCATTGAAAAACATAAAAGACGTCTATAGACATCTTTGGCAGTCAATGAGTTAAAGTGTCTCTGAGCAGCAGTTTTCTGTCATTTTCAGTCCAGAAAATTCTGACTTTTGAGTCATTCAGACAGAAAAAAGGCCCCTAACTCAAAGGATGAGCCAGTTTTTTGTTACTTTTTATGATTATTTATACAAAAGAATGTCAACACATGATTTAAGATTTTTCAATAATCTAATTTAATCTGGTAAAATTACTTTTTGGTGCCCTAAAGTGTCTCTGAGCAGCAGTTTTCTGCCTTTTTCAGTCCAGTTTTCCAGTTTTTTTCTTTGTTTAAAGGCCCCTAACTCAAGGGATGAGCCTTT